GGCACATCAAGGAGTAGGCAGCACACCATGCAGTCTTTCAGACGCCAGGGGGGAAATGCGAAAGGCACATCAAGAAGCAGTGGAGCTAATCAGTTCAATATTTGTTTGACTTTTGAAAATGACCTCTATTTCTCTGTTAAGTCTCATGTAAAGATAACAAACCATGTATCTGTTTTCTCTCGAGTTTCACTGAGATTTCTTTTCAAACAACTGTGTTTACTTCATCATCTGAGAAATTTACAGTATCAGTTGCTGTCTGGTTGTTCTCTGGTACTTTGCTTGGTGAGGTCACTGTTCTGGGCACCTTGCTGATTTACAACATCGTGCACTTAGGTGTTAAAATATGTTTTCCAGTCTCCATAGTTTGACTTGTTTATGGCTGTACCTCCAGAATTTTTAACAAGTCAGATAATCTTATCTCAGCATGTGAGCTCTTCTGCTATTTCATCATTAGACAATGCTCTAGATTAAGGTTTGCCACAGATCTGTGCTTAGTGTGTCAATACTATTTCATCCACAGATGATGCCCCAATTGTGGATTTATCCCAAATTTGCAGTTGGTGTATTAGTTAGAATGAGTTGTGGATATGTCTGTAACAAAATTCATTCCTTCAAGCATCTCTTGTGAAGGAGTTAGGCTGAGACAAACTGGTCCCGCAGTCACCAATACCACAGTGCTACATCGTACCAAGAACCCACTGTTTGAGATCAGTCTAGTCTTGGGGGCAAGTACCAAGGCCTGTAATGCTGTGGGCTATCTGTGCTAAATTAGACACCCAGATGAAGCTGGCTGGGATATAAGCCCAACCAACTGGGGCCATGCAACTGCACTGGGAATCAGGTGGTTCCAGAGATCATATCCTTAGACACTGGCTTTGGATCAGTCAGGGATCATCATGATAAACGGATTGTTCAGTTTTACCAGTCAGGAACTGAATCGTGGTTTGATGCTGTCTGACCAAGATTGAGAGAAGAAGTAAAGAAAACTGTACCTCTTTGACTGCACAGGCAGACATCAAGCTGGCTCATGCCTGGATATCTTGCTTACTCACCACTGCATAATCTTAGGAGTGCATTCCAAGCCCAGAAGAGGATGACAATGATACACGCTGCGACATGTCCATCCTGGCAGGGTATAGTTCTTCCAGCTATCAGAAAAATCTGGAGGCTTCACTGGCAAGTGGTCTGGGGACAGAGGCGTTCATTGTTTACTGGGTGCTGTGTCTCACTGTGGTGGCCAGCAAAGCTCTGAGCTCTGAGGCAAAATTCTAAGGTCTATTTTCTACCTTACTCTTTCAGCAGCTGGAGTCTTGCCTCACTATCCAGTGGATGACAGGAGAGGGGTGGTGGTAGGCTGTCGCTATTTAATTAAACAGGGTGAAAAGGATTTGGAGGTAATTCCAGGAGTCTGGGATATGAGTATCCCATCAGGGTGTTGTTTTCATTGAAAGGCAAGCATGACACTGGATTTCAAGTCTATGGAGTGGACTTACTTTCCTCTGCTTCCTACAAACAGAAACTGCACGCTTGTAGTTAGGAAAAGGGCAACAAAAGCAACTCCCTCCTCCTGTTTTCACTGTATCTTTGCTTATTGTTAGACTAAAATTAGGCATTGTGGTTTTACCCCTGGCTTCCTTAGTTTTGTGAAGGTGACATGGTGCTTGAAAAGCTCTACAAATTCCTGAATTGAGATGTGATCATAAGTGCCTCTTATTTTGTTGCTCCACCCAGGGCTCAACCCAGAGCTGTCAGGAGTTACAGGAAGAGTGTGAAGCTCTGAGGAAGACCCAAACAAACTAAAAGGGTTTACCAAGGACTAACGCAAAGAATTCCGATGGACTGTGAGTCATATGGGGCTGCCTGGCTCTGGAGTAATTAAGCTTATGTGAACAGGGCCCCAAGGAGGATCTGATAAGGAAAATTTTTGCTGGCTGGATTCTGAACAAGTTGCTTTGAATTCAAAATAAGACTTACCCGAAGAGGACGCCGGTGGAAAGCAGAGAAGCAAGGTTGTGAGAGGCCATGGCAAGGTGATTCAACACACAAACCAATCTAAAAGGAGAGAGGTGCAGCATGACCATGCAGGACAGATAGGAAAGCATTAAATTCACAGAAGAAGTAACATGTTAACTCAATAGCTAAGAATGCAAGTATAAGCTCCCTGGAAAGATGAGTAATGCATGCAGCCCGTGTGTGCCAAACACGATAGGAGAAAGATCCCTCAAAAAAAAAAAAAAAAAGAACTTCAGTTTATATATTGCAAGTGGGGATCTGGGGATTTAAAGATTCAAAATTAGGCACTTTTTTTTTTTTACTAATATGTAGTAACATAACACTTGGCTAAACATATTCATTTACATGAAGTTATCCAGGTAATTGGTTTTGAGAAGTACTAATGTGAGATATATTTTTACCCTATGACTTATAGATTGGTATTCTTTAAATATCTGATCTACAGGGAAAATGCACAAAATTACATTAAGAAATGTAATGAGCCTAAAAAATTAGTAACACAAATATTAAATATTGTGAATGTAGACTGTAGTGAGGCAGCAGCCTGAACTGCATAACCCATTAGCTTCACCCAAACACACATGCTTCATTCCTCTGGGAGCACCCCTGTGAAGTTTGCAATTCGATTCCTTTTTCCATGCAGCCTTCAAGCTTTCCCAGAACATTACTGCATAGGCTGATTTCCATCCCCTCCCAGACTCACAGAAAATTTCATTAATGTCAGAAGCTTGCTTCTTCCCCTGGGCTGGTGATCCACTAACATATACACTTGGTGTTGGAAATAGGGAAGAAAATCCACCTCAGCCTCAGCCTCTCTCACATAGTCACACACAGTCCCCTTCCCTGAAGTCCCAGCGGCCACCACAAGCTTCCCAAATGGACTTTGGGTTTCATAATCTACTCTTCGTTGGAGGAAAGATGCATTATTTAGACCTAGGAAGTGCTTGTAGAAAGAAGGTTTTTTTTTTTTATTCTTTCTCTGAAAAATACTGTTTTTAATATTCTCCTTTAAAGTACCCTGACTTGATTTAAAAGCGTAGAGTCATCCATGTGGTCGTAATGTTAAATCAAACTCTTCCAGTAAACTGCCTTTCCCAATCTTGCACATGATCCTTACACAGTATTGAACAAATACTAAGCATTCAAAATTCAAGTTATATGGGCACAACTACCTAAGTCATGTAGATGTTTCATAAAGGGTGTTTGGTTATTCTGTTTCTATTTCAAATTTAGTATAGCATTAATGATACAAAAGTGAGGAAGCATTAATGATACAAAAGTGAGGAAGCAGATAATCCTTAAAACCCAGCAAGAAAAACGATAGATAGTATATTCAGAATTTCTTTCTGGAGAAACATCAAATGAAATTGAGATAAAGTAAAAACAATTACCATTTCATTTCCTCAGCATGTTTTGCTTGAATATTTAGGCAAATTTCTGAAACACAGTGAAAACACTTCTAGAACGCAGCCTTTCTCTTTCCACATCAGAGTAGTTATTTCAATGAAGCATTCTATATTCTTTAGAAAATTCTAATGTCGTTTGTGAGATTTTACAACCAAGCATAATCCCAATAGCCTAACAGACATGACTAACAAACTACAAGATGGGGGCTGGCACAATGGCACAATAGGTTAATGCTTAACGCATGATCTTCGCATCCCAGGTAAGTACCAGTTCATGTCTCACCTGCTCTACCACTGCTCCAGCTCCCTGCTGGGAGCCTGGGAAAGCAGTGGAGGATGATCCAAATCATCGCCTTTGGGACGACCTAGAAGAAACTCCCCACTCCTGGCTTCGGATGGGCTCAGTTCCAGCCACTGCGACTGTTTGAAGAGTGAACCAGTAAATGGAAAATGTCTTTTTTTTCTCTCTCTCTCTTTCTCTTCTTCTGCTTCTCCTCTTTGTCTGTAAATCTGCCTGACAAATAAAAATAAATAGACTTTAAAAAATGTAAACTGAAAGATAAAAAGGAAAATATCTAACTCTTTAGGGTAAAAATACAAATATTAATTAACTATGATATTTATTTTCCTATGTTTATATGATGTGGTATGTATTCCCCTATATTAATATGCATATACACATATATTATGTGCATAAACTTGTACTCATAAATATACAGACACATACATAGTACATATTAGATATCAATGGAATCAACTTATACACCTTAAATATTAAATATGCTTCTGTGTATAACTCAAGTTATATACCATAAATATAGAAAATAAACATTTATGCATGTGTTGTCATTCAATAGGTCAAGATATTTAAATTAAAAAGAAAGAAAATCATAAATATATATTCATCATTATAACTGTAGGCTCATGAAGTCATCATCAGTTCATGGGCAACTTTCTAGGTAAGAATTTGATGAAAAAAACAATATTTCCATAGTCTTAAAGTATGCCTTGAATCAATATTCATTAGTACGGTTATTAATAAACAAACATTAATGTTGCATATTATAGCTGGTACAGTTTTACATAAATCCTGGTAATGTTGAAAGTGAATAGTTGATGCCATATCATTTGAATTTTTAATTAATTTATTGAAGAAGAACAGGAGGGGTTGAGGGAGAGAAGGAGATTCTGTCTGCTGGTTTATTCCTCAAATTACCACATTAGCTGGAACTAGAGTGGGCTGGAAAAAGATTTATCTTTTATGCTGACTGGACCAAAGAATATAATTTACCTTGCAGGCTGATGATCAATCATAGCTAACTGAAAGCCACATTGGGACAATGGAGGTTTGGAGTCCCATTGACAGGAAAGCAGGAAACCAACAAAAAGAACATTAGTGTCTACAGTTCCCCATCTTCAATGGTACGTTGAACCACAGTAATGCAGGAAAGCAATGAGTTGATAACCACAATAAGCAGGAGGCAGAGCAAGAGGCAAGCTAAGAGTTCATGGTGGACATACCTTCCCAGAACTGCCGACTCTCAGCACAGACACCAGCTGAGCTTTTACACACACTTTCTTCTTCACGTAGAAACCAGGCACTCATACTGGAACACAGGAGAACAGATGAGAATTCAAAGGAGGGGACTCTCCTTGAGGGGTTTACTATGCTTGACAAAGTTTTTGAATCTGAACAGTTTTCCCATCAACAGGGAAGCCAAGACTGGATGGTGAAGACACAGATTGACCAACAATGACCTTATTCTAACATAAAGGCAGTAAAAAGTCTTAGGAGTATGGCAACTACTTATAAGTATTTCTTCACATACAAAATAAAACTTTGAGCAGTACCAAGAATGAATTTTATCAAATGAGATGTACACTCTCAGCCCAAGGTTAGTGAGTAGGCATTGAGTTCATACATAAGAAAAAGTGTCTGCATGACTGTGAGAACTAAAGTGACAGCTGAAGTTCCAAGTCTTCAAAAAGTACAACATGTCGTATAAACTCAGAGGCAAAGATAAAGAATATAAACAAATACAATTAATTCTTATAGACTTAGGATGATGATTTTGCCTCACATGCCTAGAATTCCAGAGACAGTGACTCTCCATGCAAAGTAAATTAGCATCTCTATAAGTGTTAGCTAGGGTCCAAAATCTTAGTGACTCTTTTCTTCTATCTTCAGCACTGGGTTTATTTCTGCTTATTATTATGACTATATCATCTAGAGTGATCTCAATCATGTGCCTTTTTCATCCTTTACATCGGACAGTTAACTCAGAGAAAGTCTGTCTCCTAACATACAATATTAATTTTTCTTCCAATGATATTGGAGTGCAATGACACATCTACTTACACTTAGACTAATACCTACCATCAAAAGGAATGGCATTTGCTGGTTGGCATAAATATACTAGGGATATTCAATACCCAAAGCCAGACACAGCAGCCTCAGGGTCATTAGCAAGAATGTACTATTCTATTTAACACACCTATTAGGAAGGCAGAATGTAGAAGGAAATTGCTAACGTAGAATGAAACTGTTGGTATACCACAATTTCAGGAGATAAGTGACAAACTAAAAATGAGGCTTAACTATATATTTTAAAATTGAAAATATACTAACTGAATTTTTTTCCCACAGAATCAGACTTTTGACATAAAAATTCTGATGGAATACCTGAATCCTGTATTAGTGCCTAGGTTCAGGTCCTGGCTGTATTCCAATTCTCTCATGCTTCCACTGTGCTCCCAGAAAGGCAGCTAGTCATAGCTCAACTGGCTGAATTAGTGCCACCCAAGAAGGAAACCCAGGTTGAATATCTATATCCTAGCATGGCCTGCCTGATTGAGCTGATACGGGCATTTGGCCAGTGAAGATGAGATGGGAGGTCTCCTTCCATAAGTCTGTCTATATTTCTTGGCCTAAATCTAGCTTTTAAAATAAATAAAATTAAAAAGCAGTTAAAATGTTATATTTTTAAGTTTTGTTGAGATAGCTGAACAACTGTATATTTGAATTGAATATATACATATTCAATTGTATATATAATTATGTTTATATTATATATCCATGGAAAAATGATGAACACACCCAATTCATAAATCAATATATCACCTTTTAATTATGGTAACAGAGTTAATGCCTACTGTAATGTTGCAACAAAAATTGATTTAATAATCAATCTAACATTTTTAAATTATCAAATTTAATTTAAAAAGCAGTAGATATTCTAAAAGAAAAAGAAGCTAAAAGAGAAGAAAATGCAGTTGTTTGCTGTAAGAGACAGACAAATCAGGCAACAAAAAATGCATAAGAACACTGCAAGAAGACTTGCTTCAAGTTTCTAAGGCTTAGAACTCACTTTTTAAATAAAGGCACTAAAGTTAATATCTCTCAGTTCAAAAATTCCATGATCTTACATTCTATAAGCCTTAATTCCAGTTTTATGAATTAATCTTTCCAATTCATGCTTAGAATGTGTAAGCAAGTTGAAGTTTTTCCAGCAAATGTGTAATTTTGAGATTAAGTGTGACACAAATTGTATAATTGGGAAAGATTGTGTAAAAAAAAGAAAAGATAGCATACATATAATATTATTTTTTACTTTAGTAAATACTTGAAATATCCCTTCAGTAATGTTAATAATAGCCACACTTATATAAACATAAACTCCAACAGAACAATCTTTCTACTTATACACAACACAGAAATTTTGAAGGGATCCTTGAATTTAAAAAAGAGAAGACGGCCATACTCACTTGCAGCAGCAGATCGTGATTTCCTGTGTTTCGACACCATGTAGTTTTGATATTCCAAAAATCTCCTCTGTTCCAAAAAAAATTTTTTTTACTGGTATTTTCTTCTATTTGTGAATCCACATAAAAAAATATATATGTGTATTTAATCACCCCAGTATTCAATCTTGACTGTTGGAAAATCATAAGTCAGTATTGATTGTCTAAATAGCAGTAATTCAACAGAAGGAGCAGTGTTTTTTAAAATCTGCTTCATAATAGTCATTTTTCATTGTGAGACATTTCCTGGAATGAAGATTAGAGCCTACGAATTCTTTTGGGCTAGTTCCAAATATTGACAATGAAATGCTTTTACTGTTCAAAAGAAAAGTGTCATACCTAAGGCAGGATAAAAAAAAAATGTTGATATGAAAGAAAATCCACATGATGTTTGGGTTTACTACCCAATCTAGATTCAAGGATGTCAATCATTTGTAATATAAGGTTACATCTATTTTTAATTTTTAATTTGATATACTTAAGAGATCAAGAATAAGTGAATATCAGAAAAAATACTTATGAACAACAAATAATCATATTCATGAAAAATGTATAAATGAACAAAAAAATGGCCCAGGCATAATTTTTGAGATATATAGGAAACTCTGTAGAATGTGGTTAATGGTCAGAAGAAATCGTGAAAATAGAGTACTTCTATGTTTTGCTAAGAACTGGGTAATATCCATTCCTGCTAAGAACTATATATTACCTGTTCAAAGTGCAACTCTAAAAACACTAGGCTATTTTATCAGTGAAATAGATGTCTGCTTTTAAGAAGCCTCTTAGAATCACTCTTGAGAAAATTATATTTGTAGGACTCATTCATATGCTGCAGGATTATACAACTCTTTCTGAATTAATTTTATTTTGCAATTTGGAGAAAACTTTCGGAAAGATACACCTGAGTAAATGTGAATTTAATATGATTAAGGAAGTCATTAGAATGGCATTAAAAATCAGAAAGAAATTACAATTTTACTCATTATTTCTGGGATACCACAATATGGCAACCACAGTTTTTGTGGATACCTTTCTTATTTAAACAAAACAAAACAAAACAAGGTAAGTGGCTATCATATGTAGCATATAAATAAAAGCCTTCAAGAATTGACAAAAAGTCCACTACGATAATGCAAATGAGATTCTGTACCTAGAGATAAAATTTCTAGGGACCTCTCCTTCATATCCAAACATAGAAAGCATTGGTTTGTGGGGAAAAAAAAATCACATAAACCTATTCATAAAATGCAGTGCAACCATTAGGCAGCTATAATTAATACATTATGTCCCATTTGCTTGACATATCTATGTGAAATAAGCTTACAAATGAACTATTTTAAGTAGATGCTTGACTATTCCATCTAGCAAATACTTCCCATCCCAGTGCTTTCTGTCCTATTTGGAGACAAAACGAACAATTTTGGGAATTTGGGGGCTACTTTATATGTGACACAGATAATGTGTCTATGCGAATTTGGTAATTACTTGAAATAGTACAGAAAAAGAGGAGAAAAATTAGGAAAGGACAGTGACTCAAAATATATAATAAATGTTCTTACATTCAGGAAATATATCAAATTCATTTTAAAATGGGTAAAGCAATGGTGGGAATATTTACATCCTGAATATCTGTTAGCAATTATATTTAGCTAAAGACATCCCATTTCACAAGTTATCAGCTGATACACCTGTCTCTATCAAAACAAAGAGTCACAAGGTAGCTCACCATCACCAAGAGAATGATTCTATGTCAATCAATTGATGCATGTCTAGACTTCTGGTCTTGTGGCTATGTGCTGCTTCTCTAGACATGTGCAGATTTAAACGTTAGTATTTTGACATGACTGTCAAAATAAGATAGTAAAAATATTTTTCCTGTTTTTACCAAGTTTTGCTCTGTGTGCCTGTGTCCATTAATATATGTAGTATAAATATCATAGTAGAAATACGTACGTCACTGCATATTTACATATACTACACGTACACAAACTATAGATGGGACCATAGATTGAGAAATCACATCTTCTAGAAGGAAGTTATAAGGATATTACATAAGCACCATAGTAGAATCATTCAAAAAAAAAAAAGAAAGCTTAAATATTTAACAGCATAGAATTAGAATATCATAACATATATCAAATGACTAAAAAAGAATAAGATTATCTCTAGAAAATTCATTTCAAGGATTGGGTGCTTATACAGGTCACTCACTGAAATAGGAAAGAGGAAAAAGAAATATTAGCATCTGCTGGTACATAAGTAGAAGGGAGGTAAATTAAGTTTAGTGGTTTTATACATATATGGCTGAAGCGGTGGCCTAGCGTCTGAGGTCCCTGCCTTACATGCACCAGTATGCCATATGGGCTCCAGTTCTAATCCTGGCAACCCTGCTTCCCATCTAGCTCCCTGCTTGAGGCATCGAAAAGCATTCAAGGAAGGCCCAAAGCCTTTGGACCCTGCACCCACTTGGGAGACCCACAAAAAGCTCCTGGTTCCTGGCTCCTGGTTCCCGGCTCCTGGCTTTGGATTGGCTCAGCTCTGGCCGTTGCAACCACTTGGGGAGTGAATCATCAGAAGGAAGAGCTTCCTCTCTGTCTCTCTCCCTCTCTGTATACCTGACTTTCCAAACAGACAAACAAACAAACAAAAAACTATAGATTTCTGTCAGGCTATTGGGACAACTGCCTATAAACTAGGAGAGAAGCATATCTGATACTGAGAAGTTATTCATGATAAACACACATATCTTAGGAATGGTTTGGCCCAGCTATTAAAACATTAGTTAGGCACCCACATCCTACACTGGAGTAGCCCCAGCTCCTGACTCCCAAGTCCTGATACAGCAGATCTTGATGCCCTCAGTAATTGGGTTTCTGCCACCCACATGGAAGACTTGGACTGAGTTCCATTTTCCCGGAATGGATTCTGTTCATGTTTGGGGATGGTACTGAGGAGATGAGAGTCTCTCTCTCTCTCCAACCCTCCCTCCCTCTCTTTATTAGACACACATACACTCTCTCACTGCCTCTCAAAATAAATTTTGGAAAATTTAATTAATATAAAGATGCTTACCTTAGCTTTCGATAGTAAGCTGGTCAAATTAAAGCATCATAATCTAATGACACCATGTGGTTCGTCTGGGTGGCAAGTCTAATAGCTTACTCTGTGAGTCAAAGGCCTCCAGTCTGCACAACACATCAGGAAGATGATCTTCACCAGGAACCTCACCGTGGCCTGCTGCCTCGCCGGTCTTGTTTCATCAGTCTAGAGTTGCAGAAATAAACGTTCATTGTTTTAACCTATGATATTTTTGCAACAGCTTGGATATAAACATTAAAACACAACTTCAAATGTTCTGGTGCTACCAAAATATTTTATTTTTGCGCATTTTCTGGTTTTCTTCCTGTCATAAAACATAACTAATAAAAACAGCTAATACTAATTGTTGTGTTAGCTAATTAATCTCATGCTTAGTATTTGTGTGTGTATGTGTGCATATATTTTGATAAGCTCCCAAGTTTTAAACGTTTATAAAGTAATGCTAAGGGAAATGAGCGAATCCCAAAAGGTTAGATACCACAGGTTTGCCTTGATTTAACCTGTAATTTTTGTTTTTTTATTTGTTTGTTAGTTTTTGAACCTGTCATTGATACCGTCTCAACCCATGTGTTTTGAAGAATTGAACTTGCATTATCTTTAACATATTGTTTACTCAATACTATGTCAATTAATTCCATAACATTGTATATTGTTGCTGATGTTTTGTTGGGGCTTTTAACTGACTGGAGCTTTACCCTGTTAGCTCTGCCTTCAGAAGAGAGAAAGTCTCCCCAAGAAGCCACTGAACTTTCTGGACATTAAGATGCTAGACTTTATGCTGGATATATGCTTGCAATGAAGGAATCTCAACTGAACTTGAACTGTGGTTATGCAGCAAGGTGGAGGAATCCACCATGGGGGGAGGGTTGTGGGAGAGGTGGGGAGAATCCCAGTGCCTATAAAACTGTATCACATAAAAAAAAAAGTTAGGTACTTAAAATCCATGGTGCGATGCAGCTTGGACAAGATTATGCCATGTTTTAGACAGAAGAAAAAGCTTGAACAAGACTCCTGTGTTGAATGAAAGTTAGTGAGTGACTTGACAATATTGTTTCAGGTTTAACACAAAACTCATGTCACTGATAAATGTGCTCTATTACTTTTGAAATTGTTGTCTTTCTTTTATAAAAATGAATTTGGAACATTAAGATTCATGAGCATGCATTTGCCTGAACATATAAAAGAGTTAAAAGAAATAGAGACATGAAAGATATCTTTTGAAAGTTTGTCACATCTTTTTTGAATAAACAAGTTTCCGTCTGTAATAGTGTAGTTTTATCTAGCGGAAAAAAGACAAAACAATCCAATGTCTCATTTTTCTTTTATAACCCATCAAAGAGGTATTGTTTTGGTCTAATGAATTCTTCTGAAGCAGATAATTAATTTTATCAATCAACACATTCAAATTTTCTTTAAAAAGAAGACACTCATGCATCTATGTTTGAGGAGGAAAAGATTAACAATTAGAAATAGCTCCAGGCATACAAGTAATCTGAGACCATTATTAAAGAGTCTTTGTGACTTCTGCAACAAGAATACCTAAAAATATAAAATTACCAAGGATTTTTTTCTCTGAAATTTTTTGAGGTGTACTTTTAGCTTTCCCAAGGCATACTATTCTGGGTTCTTTAATCATTCTAAAACGTTTCATTCTATAACTTATATTTTTTAAGAACACATTTACAATGTTGGAGTGAATATTGCTGTGCTGCTTTATTTTTTAAAATTTATTTATTTGCAAAGCAGCACTCAGAGAAAGTTGGCAAGGGGAGCTTCTATTCACTGGCTTGCATCACAAACGGCCATAATATCCAGCTCTGACTCCAGCGATAGGCAGCACCGTCTTCCTATCCTCCCGTGTGGGTACCAGGGGCCCACACCCTTGGATCATTTTCCGCTGTCTTCCCAGACCCATTAGCCTGAGGCTGCACAGGAATCAGAATATCCAGAACGGCAAATCTGGTGTCACAAGTGACCGTTTGATCCATTGCAGGGTGATATGCCTAACCCTAACCTCTCAACGGCTATCTTTGTGACCAAGGAGAAATGCTCTTTTACTATAAAGTACTACAAAAATACCAAGATAAATTGTGAAGTGGGGCTACTTAGCAATAAAAACAAAAGCAACACGTTTTAACTTCATAGATGTTTTCACCCATTTCTAGCTCTAGCAGACTCAAAACAGTAATATTTTATTTCCGAGTGTTCACACAGTAGAGACTGATTCTTCCTTACACTATCATCTTCCAAATAGGTTAGCTGAAATTGAACTTGCGATACAAAGAATGAAACATTCGGGAATAAGAAGAAATCATCTATCCTTGGTCATTACCATAAAATCTTCAGATTGTGTTTACAAAATAGTTGTCTCTGCTCTCCTGTTACGCCCTCTGCCTGTAGGGCCTTGTATGGCAGGCAGGCAGGACTCCTGAAGACCAGCTCCTCAAACATAACAAAAGGACAACCTGACTCAAATACACTCAGGTGCCATGCTGTTTTGAAACTCCACTTACATACGTACTGATCGCTAAACCTTTGAGTTTACACGAAATAATGTGTGGCATGACTAACCTGTGAAATGAATACATTTTCAAATAACCTATGCGGTGCATAAGTATTTTACTATATTTGTAAGTACTTCCTTTTAGAAAGAAGTAATTTTCTCAATTGGCATTTAACAGTAACAAAAATAATTTTGTTTTGTATTTTTTCTCAAGTTAGGGACATACCTTTATTTCAAGTTTATCCTCACTCCTTAGTTCTACAGTCACAAATGATTAAGCCAATTCATTAGGATTTTCTCCTCTGATTATGCTGAGCTTTCAATTTGTGTATGCTTAAATATCCCAAATACTGCAACCTATTGTTTACCATAGGCATCTAACAAGATTTTTTATTTGACATGTTTGTCTTCTTAGTGTTTTTATTCAAAAAAAAAGAAACACAAAGTCAGTGACCTTTCATTTCAATGTTGTTTTGATAAAGAATCCTCACTGAATATCCGGTTTTTTTCCCTTCTGCAAACATTCTAAACTTGTTAGTGGCCTTCTTTCGTTTTGTTTAGCTTATCACTGGACACTCAACATTCATTGGCATACATGTGGTTTTATTTGTCCTCTTTAGGTTCCTTATATTCATGCGATAATATCAGTGTTTGTCATTACATTTCTTCTGGAGTTATTTCACAAATAATACATGGAAGTACCATCAATTATGTTCAGTTATGATTAAAATTTCTGCTCAAAAATATGTACATCAGCAATGTTCCTGGAGGTCTTACTCATTAAAAGTCTCTGCATTGAGTAGACGTCTGACGTAACATTGGTGGCATCCAGATCTAGTATCAGAGTGACTGAGTTCAAGTCCCAACCACAGATTCTAGCTTCTGCTAATGTTTACCCTGGTAATGGTTTAACTGCTTGGTCTCCTGTCACCAACTGGGGCTGGGGTGACCTCGATTGAGTTCCTGGCTTGTACTTTTGCCCAGGCCCAGCCATGCTGTTCCCAGTGTTAAGGAGTAAAACAGCTCATGGAAGCTTTGTATCTGTATGTGCCTCTTAAAGAATTAAGCCACTATAAATAAAAATTGGAATTATATCCACCACAACTCTTAAGATCCAAGGGAAGGAATGAATGCAAAAAGAGTTTGTATATGAAAAGTTGAGATAGTAAAATGATTTAGGGCCTAGTGCAATGGCCCAGTAGCTAAATCTTCTCCTTACAAGCACCAGGATCCCATAGGGGCTGTTCCACTTCCCATCCAGCTCCTTGTTTATGGCCTGGGAAGGCAGTGGAGGCTATCCCAATGGCTTTTATGTCTATTTATTGTGCAGATGGCAATTTCTAACATATAGCACTGCACAGAAATGAAGGTTAACAGTCACAAATCTATCATTCTAATATTGCTGTGACTGTTGCTAAAGGACCATGCAATTGGAATAATATTGTGGAAAACTGGTGAGTGTAAGAGGGGTGGCGAAAAGGGGGGAGGGGTGGCAGTAGAAATCCCTGTGCCTGTGAACTATATCATGACAAATTTTAAAAAATATGAAATGAAGGCTAAACAATCTGAAAAATTACAGTAGCTTTAATGCAAGTGGAAACGTTCAATGTCAGCAAGAGTTAGAGCTTCAACGTTCTCTTTTTCGTAAAGTCAATGATATCAGATAATCTAATATAATCACAGGAGTAACATCTATAGCATTCAAAGTGTCTAGTGATAATTGTAGTGTTTGTATCATGAAGCTATCTTGGGATCATGTGAGAACTGTGACTCTATAATATCTCATTATACAGTATATTATATATATTCTATATTATATTATATTATATAGAATACTAGAGTATATATTAAATATATACTATATTTATATTTAGAGAGAGAGTGAGAGGGTGAGAGAGAGAATTTATTATCTTGCAATTTTATACCAAGTATAAATCCTTTCTCCAGTGTCTGGTAGAAAATATTCAAAAGAAAAATACCTCAATATGTAAGAAATATTATCTTGCCTTCTTACTCAATTTTATATAAATATCACTAACCTGAAAAGCATGAAGTAAGTGCATATGCACATGATGTTTACATCAGCTTCTGTTTTAAAGAATCCAGGTTAGTTACTGCTATAAGAGCTTATAGCAATGTACATATAAGGGAAGGTTTGTTTATTGTGAATTACAGGTGTTACACAGTTGAGCAGGTGCTCAGTCAGTGGCAGATTTCTTAGAAGTCTTTCCAGTGTTCCATCTTACTTTCTATCTTCTAAATCTGATAAGCACTTCGTTTATAGTGCTTGGACATTGGCTTCTATTGCCTTGTTTTGGTTTCGTGGTGTTCATTCTTTTTCACTGATACTTTACTTGTTTGAAGAACAGAAAAGCAAGAGAGAATTCTTCAATTTTCTCAATTTACTCCCCAAATGTTTTCAGCAGTTGGGCTTTTTTAAGCCAAGTCAGGAACCTGGAACTCATTTTGGGTCTTCCCCTTGAATATTAGGAATACAACTACCTGAGCCATTGTTTGTTGCCTCTCAGTGCATACATCATTAGGAAATTGGAATTGGAAGGCTAGCCAAGTTTCAAATCCAGGAATTCTGCAAATATGGCGTTATTTCTTTTGCAAGAAACCCAAGAGCATGACTCAAATTTGGCCAAGCATGAGACAATTA